TCCCACCATGCTTAGTTCATGTAGGGGTTCAAGAATAACCTCACGATGATACGATGTTGGCTATCCTCGTTGCCTACACTTACCTCATCATATGTTCATGGACTCCTCCTGAGTGTAAGCATGCACTTTGTACTCCCCCATGATAGGGTGAAGCCGGTGTACAAGTCACAAACGATTGGAGCCCACCACGGTGGAAGGCCTACGAAGAAATGTTCAAAAACATCTCTCGTTTATCAACTTAATATTCGTTTGTTGAGGGATTTTAAGGTCTCATCAATTTTATTTATTTAAACATATTCAAATAAATTGTCCTATTACAACTACTAGTCCAAAGTTAATGAAATTAGTAGCATATGATATCCCCACTATTCGTTTTCATAAAACAAATCAATATCAAAACATTTTTCAAAATATTGGAGATATATATAACTACTAATTGAAATCATTATAGTTTAGTAGCGTATGATACTCCCACTATTTGTTTTGAGAAAAACAAATCAATATCAAAAACGAATTTTTCAAATATTGGAAGTAACTACTACTACTACGGGTTTTGCAATCCTTTGAAATTGGACTTTATAGTTATCTTAGGCTCTTGGATGACCATGGACTTATTGGGTTATTGCAACAACGAGCCAACATTGTTGAATAAGATCTCGGGGAGGTTGTGTCAATTTAATTACGTGCTTTTCAATCCAATTAAAACATTTTCATTGAGCCATTAGAAATGAAAGACAATCATTCATTGCTTATTAGGGCGTTGGACCCATTTAATCTTGAATCTCATGTCAAAACCCTCTTTTAGTTATGTCTCCTTACCAATAGTTAAAGAAACTCTAGTCTAGCACTAGAGGGAATCAACTAACTAAAAGAGATTAAGAAGTAATAAGAATTACAAACCGATTTGTACAAATTCCTACAAATTACATATACTAAGAGGGAGAGATAGATTAATGTCGAAACGTGACAAGGTCCAATTGAAACAGTAATTAAAACACATTCCCAAGGTTCAAACAATTTGATTTTAGCGCCTTATCTCATAGCTCAATTATCGTTTAAGGCATAAGTCCATAGTCACCCATTTACTAATTACTCAATCATATTAAATAATCAAATGGAATGCAACATATAAACAATTAGATTTAGTGCATATGGGCATAATTCAATGATGAGTTTAAACATTAAATAAAATTAAAATCAAACATTTCAATTTTTAAATAGTAGGGGTCTAAATGCAAATATGAAAAAGTTAGGGGTCAAACCATAAATACTAAAAGTAATACCAAACTTTTCATGATTACAAAAGGACCCTCAAGTGGGTAAACCATTGAGGATGGCCGGCCATATTAAGGGGAAGGTGGGTAGGTCTCACCCACCTTGCATTATTTCAACTTAAAGAAGAAAAAATCTTGTTTGCCACTTAGTTTTGTTTTAAGGACTTTAGGGAAAAGGGTGATGGAAATATATATCTAGACAATTCTAGGTATTAATTTAAATTTTGGTGTAGGCTATGGATGGTATGTACATCATCCATAACCACAAAACAATGCATGTAAAACCATTTTCACCAAAAACAAACCATGAACACCAAGAACAAAACCATGAACATATTTTCAAGATTTGTATGTTCTTGGTGATTTTTCAAACCCAAAAAACAAAAGTGACAAGATCACTACTTTCTAGCTTTCAAAGTGTGTGTGTGAGGTTCAAAACAAGACACAAACACTAACAAAAAATCCCCATTTAGCCGAATCCCCTTTGAGGAATAAAACCCCAAAATTTTTGTTTCTAAACCCTCTTTTCATTCATGCATCCAAAACAATTTTTGCATACATATCTTTCTCAACTATTGATACACCTTTTCAACATTTGAAAAAGACAAAAGATAAACATATTTTGAATGAAAAACAATTTAAACTCAAACTTCATTCATGCATCAAAAACACTTTTCTTGCATATCCTTTTTCAACTTTTGATTTACAATTTTTCAACACTTTGAAAAAACAAAAGATAAACATATTTTGAATGAAGCAATAATATGACATACATAAAATTAAAACCCATATGCATAAAATCTAAAAGGACACATCATACATAAACCTTTGGCTCTGATACCACTTGAAGGGAAAATATGAGATTTATGTGGGATTTCTAGTGACTAGCATGCATATACAATTCAAAATTTATATACGAAAGCAACGGAAGCATGTCATACATTTTATCAAAGCTATAGTCATGCAAATCCCCTTCAAGATGCATAGGTTTATATAAGATGCATCAAAAACAATTTATTGAAGAACAAAGTTTAGGAGTAGTTTTGTACCTCTTGATCTAGATCTAAGACCAAGGATTGACCACCTCCAAGCTCTTTGCTCCTTGAACTCCTTGAGCCTAGCCTCCCTCCTTGCCTCCTCCACTTTGTTGAGAATGAGTGCTCCTAGGTCCTCTTCAAGTTTCCAAAGATATGAAAACCTCTAAAGATCCTCACCCACTTTGTAATGAGAAAGATGAAGGAATTAACCAAAGGGTGATAAGATGATTAGCTAGAATTCCCTTTGGTGGCCGGCCCTTTGAAGTTTTTAGAGAGAATGATTTTGTTTTCTTTTGTGTATGTTATGAATTACCTAACACACTCACACACACTTTCATTATATTATGTTCCTTTTATTTCTTAAAGAAACAAATCAACAATTGACTTACTTTCTCTCCCTTCTCATATGGCCGGCCTATTGTGTTTAATTTGGGCTTTGGGCTTTTAATTATTTCAAGTCATCCAATGCTTGAATAAAAGCCCAATGGGTTTTGGCCCAATGGGCCCGATTAAACCCGAACGTTTCTTTAAGCCCAAAACGATCTTTATCGCTTTTATGATTTCTTTAGACTTTCTAAATTAATCAAAACACTTAATTAATCCAATTAATTATTTCCTTCATCCATTAGTTACTCACTACAAGAGTGTATCGGTGAACAATCTTTTAGGTTCTAATTAGCAAGGCAGTGAGGTGATTGGCACCAATCCAATTGATTATCCAATCACTTAGTGATTTAAAACTTACTTTTAATTCACCTTCCTTTTAATGACTACATTTAATCATCTAGAAGAACTCACAAGCCATGAGTGACATCTAATCATATATCATGGCTACCCAAGCTAATGTAGAAGTTATTCGGAGAACCTATTCAGTTGGAATTACAATGTAATTCGATCCTTCTCTAAAACAATACTCTCAATCACATTACTAGGGTATGGATTTATAATGTCAAACCCCTAATGTGATTATTCCTTCTTATACGATTCATTTGAGACGTATAGGAACGCTTTCCTTTATTACGCTCGATACTTCGGCCGAAGATTCCCGAATCATATCTTAGAGTATTCATCCTCTCTTATCGAAGATTAGAGATTCCTTGTTGCGCATTCACTTGCCTTCATGGCTAAGTGGCTTAACCCCAACGATGCCTTGGACACTCTCGAATGGAATGACTTTAACATAATCAAAGATTAAGTACTTAACCACAAGACAACGAGATGCCTCAGGTCAAAGGATTACTTACATTATTCCAACCATTAGAGTTACTTGCTTGACATGTGAGTAGACCTCCATGCAAGTACTCTCGTTCGATTGTGTTCAGTGAACTCATTCCCTTAATGAGCACCTACATGCTTGTCTTAGTGTCGCTACACGAATGGGATGAGACTTTCCATCCTTCCAATTGAAGCGGACATAGTATGTACCAGTCTATGGATTGTCAGTATCCCTCCGACAATCCTTATGACCAGGAACCTTTTTGGACATGATGGTTATGAGAAGAAGGTCTCTGTAACCTAACATCATTAGGTTACTTCTTCCATCGATCCATTGTCCATGGATTCACTATTTAGGACATATTTCGTTCATTGAGATAGTCCCAATTAGTATCTTTGCCTTCCGATGTATAAGAGTCATATATATACATCAATTCATTGTCCTGAAAGGTTTCTTCCAAAGATTGACTTTCAGGGCATATTTCCAACACAATCAAAATCGCATGACACGGTACATAAGGTAGCTTTATTTACAATGCCACTCAAGCTCGGTGGCGGTGCTTCCAGTGACGATCGTAGTTCGAGAACTGAATTTGGAGGAGGGGTATAATTTGGGGTAATATATCGCATCCAATCTTGATGGAAATGGTCATTTGTTATGAAGGGATAGGGTTATGATAAAATGGAACATTACAAGGGGTTGATTGAGTAATCGGTAGGTTTCTAGCTTGCCATCATCAAAATCATAACCATTTTCTGGGGAATATGAGAGGATTACCAGCACAGTTAACAAACATTTTGGAAAAAAGAAGAAGAGGGGATTTGCAATTTACTTAGTTTGGGTAGTTATGGTTATCCCTTTGATTGACAAACTAATTAGTCTAATCTGGCTGCTACAAATCCCTACGATTGAGAGAAACAAAGGGAGCAAATTCTGAATCTTATATACAATGTTAAGGCACACGTTTTTATAGGAAATGGTCAGTAAATGTGTCAGTTTTGTGTGTCTAAATAGTAAATAGTATTGAATTGATTAATAAGAAACCATTTGAACATAGTTAAGGACACACAATCTGTGAGAAAAACATAATAGTACATACACTAACAACCGATAAAAAAATGTAATAAGTGCTACAATAGTTAAGAATTAGTTTATGCGGTTTGATTCGGGTTAGGTGGATTTTCATGTAAGTCAAACTTACCAAACAAGTTATTACAATTAGGTTCAGTCTGGTCCACAATTGCACTCTTTTAGGGTTCATTCAAACAATGGCGTGGGAATTTTGCTAGTTTTGTTTTTAATCAAATAAAGCTTATGGTTGAAGTTTATATTAGGATTATGTTTGTATAGGGTTCAAATCTTACCATGAACAAATGTGGTGCCCAAATATCTTGGGCCGGGTAGAGTCCGGGCTAGCCAGGCCCATTTGTTTTCTTTTTATATTTAATTTACTGTTCTGCCACCTTTCTTCTCTTCTTTTTTTTTTCCCCAAAATTGCGGTTCTGCCATCTCAATCAACTTTCTTTGTTGGTCTTTGTTCCAGTAAAAACCTCACTAGGGTTTCTCGGTGAAGAGTTAACCCTAATTCCCCAATTCCAATGGCGGATGACCGGGACGAGCTCAGCGATTACACATCGGAAGACGAAGGCACCGAGGATTACAAGAAGGGAGGCTACCACGCCGTCTCTATTGGGGACTCCTTCAAGAATGGCTGCTATGTGGTGCAGAGCAAGCTCGGGTGGGGCCACTTCTCCACCGTCTGGCTTGCGTGGGACACAAAGAGCTCGGTATGTATCTGTCTTGTTGTGAAGAATGCTGCTTGTTTGGATACTGAGAAACTGAGGGAAAATGAAAAGAGTAGAGGAATTGAAATGTTGTGTTCTGTACGATTCTTTGGGAATTTAGGGTTTAGGCAATGAAAAGAGGCATAGTTTTTTGATGAATCCAATTAATTGATAGCGAACCAATTCGGTAATTGTGAGAATGAAAAGAAAATTTTGAATGTAATTTGCAAGAGGAGTAGAAGAACACAAATAAAAAAAATATTAGGGAATGGCTCAAATTCTCAGATTATATTGGTTGGCTTATACAAATAGAGAAAAGAGTTGGGCGTAGTTGAGTAAGGATCTCGTTTTCTGAATAAATTTATTGCATTGGTTACTCTTTAGTAATTTGAGCTAGTTTCTTGTTACAGTTACTTTATCTTAGTTGTTTTATTAGCATTTGGATTGAAGATTCTCTATCTTTCCTGTTGTGTGTGCGGATTTTTTTATGCATGTGTACGAAAGTAATTGAGTACCCATTCTATAATCTCATTGTTCAAACCTTTAACAACATGAGAAATTCATTGTTTGCAGCGTTATGTAGCTTTGAAGATTCAAAAGAGTTCTCGTTATTACACTGAAGCTGCGATGGACGAAATAAAGATTCTCAAACAGATTGCCGAGGGAGACCCTGGCAATAAGAAGTGTGTTGTGAAGCTTTTGGATCACTTCAAGCATTCAGGCCCAAATGGACAGCACGTCTGTTTGGTTTTTGAGTACCTGGGGGATAACCTCCTGACCCTTATTAAGTATAATGACTACCGAGGGGCTCCACTGCACATGGTCAAAGAAATTTGTTTCCATATATTAGTGGGTTTGGATTATTTACATAGTCAACTTTCAATAATACACACTGATCTAAAGCCAGAGAATGTTTTGCTTTCGTCAATGATTGATCCATCTAAAGATCCTAGGAAATCAGGTGCTCCTCTCATCCTTCCAACCAGCAAAGATAAAAATGTGCCCGTCTCTGGGGCTTCTAAAGACATTAAGAAGTTAAACGGAGATCTCACCAAAAACCAGAAAAAGAAGATCCGTAAAAAGGCTAAAAAGGCAACTCAAGGTTGTGAAGGAAGGGAAATTTCGAAGGATATGGAGGCAGATTCCACAACAGTTGATGCGGAAGATTCTATTAATGAAGTACAATCAAATGGGGTTTCTGTTCAAGAACAAGTGAAGGATTCTGGGGTTAGTAATGAATCAGTAAAGGGTGAAGAAAAGGAAGAAACTCAAGAAGCAAAAGCAAGCCGTTCTGCAAGGCAGAAGTTATTCACAGAAGCTGACCTTAAATGCAAATTGGTTGATTTTGGAAATGCTTGTTGGACATATAAGCAGTTTACTAGTGATATTCAGACAAGGCAGTACAGATGTCCAGAAGTTATTCTTGGAGCGAAATACTCAACTCCAGCAGATTTATGGTCCTTTGCTTGTGTTTGTTTTGAGCTAGCCACTGGTGACGTTCTTTTTGATCCACACAGCGGTGACAATTATGATCGGGATGAGGTATGCGAAATTCTTGATTTCTTCCTCTGAAATTGCTGAAGATTTTTGTTAGATTTTTAAAGCTTTGCCGCTTTTGAAGTACTGCACTGTCTGATTTTCCAAATAGGATATTTTTACAGATACTGAGAATTCACCAAAATATTTCTTTCCATGGACAGCCACCTAGATAGATCATAGAACATGTATATTTTCTTCGTTCAGGCAACAATTCAAATATTAAAACGTACACCTTATGGTGGACCATTTTGTATGTTCTATCGTTATGCGGTCATTATTGTTCCCCACCCCCTAAATTGTCTTATCTGATGCACTTAACACTTTAAAGGGGCCATTGTAGTTGCAAATTTGTAAATTTCGATATCATCATAAGCATCATCTAACCAGTATAATTCAGCAAATATTACAGAGTTAATTTTTTGCCTGAGACATTACTGGATTTGCTTGAATAGGGTATTGAGCTAATTGATGATAGAGTGACGGGAGTAGACTGCACACTTCGAATTTCAAGGAAGTTTACGATGTATTTGAAAAACTAGGTGTTAGATATATTGTATTCCTTTAAGTAATTTAAGTTCCATATTGACTTTTAAATCTCATTTTTCAGGATCACCTGGCACTGATGATGGAACTTCTTGGAACAATTCCCCGTAAGGTAATACCATGATACTTTGCTCACTGAAAGAAGTGAAACTAATATGCAGTGCTTACGCTGCCACTTTGAAGAATCAAGAATGTGAGCTTATACTGTTTCACAATAAATCTGGTTAAATAAGGGTATTCATAAATGTTTCTTTTGCAGACTGCATTAGGTGGCAAGTATTCCCGGGACTTCTTTAACCGGTATGGGGATTTGAAGCATATTCGACGTTTGCGTTTCTGGCCTCTTAATAAGGTGCTAACAGAGAAGTACGCATTCAGCGAGCAAGATGCAAATGACATGGCAGAGTTTCTAGTTCCCATACTTGATTTTGTGCCTGAAAAGAGGCCAACAGCTGCACAATGCCTCAGTCATTCATGGTTCAGTGCAGGTCCTCGACTCCTTGAGCCTTCCGTGGCTGGTGTGCAACCTCAGGCGTCCAACGGGAGTATTTCTAAGAAGGTGGAGAAGGATGAGAGGGAAGCAATGGAGGTGGGAATGGGGAATATAGCCATTGATGAATCTTCAAAACCTGTTAAAGAATCCCAAAGTGCACTAAATTCATCACAACAGGCATGATCAGTTGGTTCAGGTGTTTTTCTTTTCCATGTTTTATGCAATTTGTTTTGTTCTTTTACCATAGAGCTGTGTTTTTCTCTTCTTCCTTTTCCTTCTTTCCTTTTTTGTCCAAAGCATTGAGCTTTGTTGGTTTTCCATATTCATTTGTTAATCCATTTCGTGTTTCGGGGATGCGACTTTGATTGGTGCTTACCAGTAGTCTGCTCTAGTATCGTTCTCAATCGTGATCAAATTTCGAAGCACATCTTGTCTTTGATTACAAACAGTCTTATCAAATATTTCGTTATATCCAATTTTACGGTTCTATGGAAGGTATATGTATCAAACTTTCACTAGACTAGGTTTCGTTTAAAGATTGATGTTTGTAATTTGTGAATATATCGTTCCTTTGGGTGTACATTCTTTGTTTCTTACTTCTGTAAGGCGTGGGCAGTGGGCACTTACACAATCCAGCATCCAGCTTGGCCAAAATATTACAGGGCCATAAACACTAATCACCGCTACTCGTTGCGTATACTAGAGCTAAGCCTAACGGATTCAACTCGCGTTACCAGCAGCAGTGATGACATAATTGAAATACAGTACAATCGTATCATTGTGTTTGGCAGCTGAATGTAACATCACCTCCGAAATCACCTGTAAAATTAACGAGGTGCGATTAAGTTTCCAGAACACAAACGGGATTAACGAAACGAAAGAGAGCATTGAAATTTTTACCTATACCTGAATCACTTTACATTTACAATATTTTCCGTGTCCTGAGATAAGAGTAGACAAGAAAAAGCCGACGACGGCGCCAACAAGTATCCCTGCTGTTGTAAACCAAAATGCGAACTGCACCAAATTAAGCAATAAGTAATGGCCAAGGCCAAGTTGTAGTAACCCGGAAGAAAAGGGGAATTCGTGGAATTTTACGTACCACATGTTCTTCAAGGTAGGACCTCAAGTTCATGCCAAATATACCTGAAATTAGAAGGAAATGAGACTCCTGAGAATTTCCTATGGGGTAGGGTTATGTAGTAAGTTTTGCACAAGGACAGACTGGAAACGTATAGAATCGCACCGGAACCCATTGGAACATTTGTACCAACACAATGCCCAAACTTATATCCAGAAGCATTACACATATAACTAATACAGGTAAGAGATAGGGTTTGTAGCAGGTTCAGGACACACCTGCAACCAGAGCGCCAAGTGCCACACAAAACGTCCCAACCTGGAGTAGTAATTCCACTCTGCTAACCTCAAGCCTCCGAGAACTGATAAATGAAATCAGTTAAAATTGGCATTAGATAATTGAAAAGCACCCAGTGTGGCCTTTAAGCATCCAATACAATTCAATTCCAGTTTGAGTATGAGAGTGCAAACAGAACACGAAATAATAGGGAATTTTTCGGTTTCAGGATTATATATGAAACTTTTAACTAATACTAATTCAGCTCAAGGTGAGGTTGTATGGTGTGCGGAATGGGGCTGCAGCTATTTGTTTCTTGTCTGCATTTATGTTTGCCTCTCTATGAGCAGGATGGGGCTTGCGTGGAAGAGGATGCTGATCTATATACGTTGTTTGCCCAGTTTTCTAACAGCTTAAACATTTTACATTCTGTGGATTTCGCGGTTGTCAAACAACAAGATCAATAAATATTTCGCATCCAGGAGGAATGTCTAGAGCTATAAACAAATAAAAAACAGAAAAAACATTCAGACCTCAAATTGACAGCTATAGAATCTTCCATTTCTTTAGCAGAATCGAGAAGCCTTTCAGCCTGGCCATGACAAGATTCACACCTGCAAATGCATCAAACACTAAGTTCAACTCCACGGTGAACATCATAGCACAGGTTTCAAACATGCTGCGTTTCAGTGGTACTATAGCATAGGGAAAAAATGCATCACTATCCATTCGTGCTAACATTAGGGGTGAAGGGGAACCTACCGTTGAAGATAATTTTCCAAGAGCATCTCAATTTCTTCCTCCTCTTCTGTATATAACAAAACCAAACCAAAGATACACACTCATTGACTCAATTTGCAACTTATACATTGCTCAAGTAAATTACAGCACTAAAACTAACCTTCAGCAATCTGCTTCTCTAAAGGAACAGAACATTCCATGTCATCATTTATCTTCTTGAGTGTACAATTTCTCCCCATAATGCATATACGGCGTATTTCATGTGGATCCTCTAACAGATCAAAGAGCACTTGCCTGAAAGCTCCTGCCCTCGAACCCAATTCAACCTTTCATCAACAAAGGACAGGTAACCAGATTAATAATGATGTTTGTCAATGCCCCTGACACGGGTTTACCATTAAGCCAAAATGATCAACTATACCAAGGTTTGCTTGCTAATACGAAGCTCTTCCAGTATGTCAGCAGTTAACCGGTTCGGCAAAACACTAAGTAACTTTTGAACCTGAAGCCAGTTGAAGGAGATTAAACAGTGATTTCACTTGAACCACAGCATTTGAAAAAACAAATATTTAGCTCTAAGGCAGATATTTAATTTACTGATTTTTTCATGACGGTTGCAAGCTACTAATTTTTTCATGACAGTTGCAAGCTAGAACATAGAGGATATATTTAGCTCTAAGGCAGATATCTGCTGAGAGAACCTAAAGAGAACCTTAGGAAAAAAAAATATATATTAAAATACTCACTATGTGCCCATACTCACACGAGGTTCTAAATACATTAGTCTTTGTTCTAAACGCTGTATTCTTGAGAGCAATGCTGCTTCAACAACCTGAAAGTACCACAAACACAAAATATGTTCGGCACTCTGATAAATTGAGAATCAGAAGCTTAATAGGTGAAAAGATTAGGAAGTATATGCATGAAAAGGAATATGAATCATATAAACGCAAAGAAAGCCCTCAAGTTTACACAAAGTATAGAAAGCCCCCCTATTCTTAATGACAATATGCCAATGACTTGTCTTGGTTAATCCAAACATCTGCGCAGAAGAGGCATATGCATGACAAATAAGGTCACTTTTTACCTCTTGCCAACCTTTTCGGAACATGAATATTAGTAACACAGAAATCGGCCCTTGATGTAAGCCTTGTTATTGAAAACCTACAGCTTGTTCTAAGTTATTGAGAAAGGAGATACAGTGAAACATTAAACTCAAACAGTGTATCCTCCTTTTGAAATTTGATATAATCCAAAGCAATCACACCTAAGCCATAACGGAAAGTTGTATATCTTTAATCTCAGTTCAGTTGTTATTGAAATTGTATTTTATGTAGTTCACTGCATGCCGCAAGCTTGTTAAAGTGTGTACATATTTGTGCGTGTTTGTATTTTCTTTCAAAAAGGATAGGATCAAAAACGGAGAAATTTCCCCTTTTGGATTTCTGGGAAGAATTAGAAGCATGACAGAGAGAATTTCCAAGAATGTTCATTGCATTTCTCACCAATGAGCTAATGAGCTCTCAGCAGGTTACATAGGAGAGGAATCTCACTCTCTCTCATTTGAACAATCTCAGCCTTACATTTGATCTGCCTATAAGTTAGATTCTTATTTCTTATAGGAATTTTCAGGTAAGGGTATCCAACTTACAAAATACCACATCAAGAACTAATATATCCTTGAAGTCAGTCATAAAATAAAGAACGGTACTAGGATTAAAACTTATATATTTGGCCCTCCAATTCAATGCAAATGGCAGCCATATTAAAAAACTGCAATAAGGCAAACTAGAAACCTTTTTCAAATCCTCCAGAACTGAACCCTTATAATTGAAGAAAATTAAAAGGGTAGCATTTCTTGGAATCATCTTTGTGTAAGGTTTCTACATGCAGACCTTTTGCAAATTTGTAACACACACTAATAAATCTGAAATTCCAAAGCAAAAACAGTGATTAGCATGAAGCAAGATAGGAATCGCGACAAGAATGCTAACCTCGAGCTCAAATGGCATAGATGGTCCTCCATTCATATTTTTGGGGTTTAGTCGAGGCAACAATGCTTCTATGAAAGCTCTGCCTCCTGTTCTGCACATGCAAAATTTCCAGTAGTATTATGCTTTGAACTCGATAAGGCAAAACTAGAAGTCAATGCAATATCTTGTTCTGCTCTCTCACTTGTTGTAGTCAAATATAAGGACACGCTCTTGCATTGCAATTGCGCGTAATGAGCCTAGATTCAACAGAATAGCATGCTCCCGGACCTAAGAGACGGATCAAAAGAAGCTCGTAAGTATGATAAATTTCCGCCATTTAAAAAGAATTAGTTGTCTATGATTCTTGCTTACCAAAATTTAAATATTTATACAGGTAAGAACACACACAAAAGCATTACAATTTGCAGGAACTAGCATGAAATACCAAAAATGGAAGCTGGAATCATACCAGCAACGAAGGCATCGAATTTGTGAGAAACAATGAAGGATCAACACTCCGAATGTCACGCGGACGAAGACCTGAGGATGAAAATTAACACCCGTAACCCGGAAACAGCACTAGAATTAACCCACATCATGTTGTTAGCAGTTTAATTTCAAAGAGCAGTATAAAAGTAAATAGCTTTATTACAAAATTAATAAAAAGCGTCGTATGATTTTTTTTTTTTTTTTTAAATAAACGATATTTATACGTTCTTTCACGCAATAATCTGGTTTAAATTTGCAAACTCACCGCTTGACTTCAGCAGCTGACGCCTGTTTATTTTTCTAACAGATACCGTCCCATTAGAATTCACTTCTTCCACCTATAAATTAATTAAATAATCTTATTGGTTAATCATATGGATTAATACATTAATCACATTCTTGAATTGCACTTAAACAGATTACAAAACTGACTTGCAACAGACCTCGTAGACCGGCTCGCGAATTCCGAGCAAAGAATCACCGGCAGACGACATCGCAACCCTACCCGAACCACCACTCTTCGCCGCCGCCGTCGTCTTTCGATGTCGGCTGTTGACCAGAACTTCGTCGTGGGGTCTAGCTTCGTCATCGGAGATGGTTTCGGGGTCACTGTACCGGTCCTCCTCAGTGGCCGATCTAAAGCACTTGGGTCTCGGCGAGACCGAGACGGAGAGCTTGACCGGAATCGGAGAGACGAGAGAGGCCTCGGCCTTTCGCGATTGGGAGTAGAAGAGCTGAGCGGAGTGGGGCGAGGAATGGAGTGGGAGCTGGAGGAGGTACGGCCATGGAGTCAGAGCCATTGCAGAGTCGCAAAGCTCTGGCTGCGATCATGTAGGGTGGAGGATTTGGGTAATATCTGTAACGTGCAATTGGATTTCTGCAGATATTTTTAAATTATATTCTCACTGAGTTATTTTATTATTACCGTTAGCATTCTGTTTTTCTGGTTGGAAAATGAATTAGAGGCGGCTTCAGGTGCGGCTCGGTGAAACGGCTTCAGGTCGTGGCTCGGCTCGAGGC